GGTTGACCAAATATCCCTTCATCACAACAACTCTGTGTAGTGGGTCCTACCAGGAGCGTTACCCCCATTTTAGATGAGGAAACTGAGGCTCAGCAAGGTTTGGTGACTTGCCCATGGCCCTCAATATAGACTTTGAGCTAGAAGAGACCCCCAGAAATGATGGCATCTGACCCCCTCATTTTATAGAGACTAAACCTCTGAAAATTAAGTAACCTGCCCCGATCACACAGATAGTGTCGAGGCAGGATCTGAGCCCAAGCCTTCTTCCTGACTCCATGTCCAGCACTCTACCCACTCCATTGGCTGCCTTATTGGTCATTGAATTTTGCCTGAATTTGTTCTGTCCTGTCTTTTCTTGGCAGATGACTAAGCAAAGCAGATGGAACCATCCCAAATCAATCTCTGTCCTTAAATTTCCACCCACCATCACTCATGCGCAAAATCTACTGCCTTTGGATTTGGGATCATTGTCATTCCCAGTGACTATGAAGCTGTCGGCTTCTGGGAGGGCAGCGAGGCTTCCCAGACCCACAGGCTTTCCCTGATCATCCTTCTCATGAATCATGTCAGCAGATGCAGCTTGGGGGCAGGAATAGCCATGACCCGAAAGGCACCTGAAGGACTTGGTGCACCCAGGAAGAAGGGATGGGGGCGCTGAGGGCAGGAGCCAGGCCACTTCCTGCCTTCCCCACAAAGCCATCCTGGACTCCTCTGACCTCATTTTCACTGACCTCTCCCTCCTCTATGACAGTTGTCACCTGGACCAACCAGTGCAGCACTCAATTCTGCAGTGCCAAGGACTGTCTCATGCTTGAGTCAGCATGACACAATTGGAGAAGGGAAAAGAAGCCTTGGATTGGGTGGAGAAGGACGTGGGTCAAGCCCTGCTCTGTCACTACAATATAACATTAGGCAAGGCACTTCATCATTCTGGGCCTCAGTTTCCTCCTCTGTAAAAGGAGGAGGTTGGACTAAAGGCTCCTGAGGGTCCTTCCAGCTCGAGACCTATTATACTGTGAATGTGACCTTGGACAGGTCATTTCCCATTCCCTACACCTCTCTTTCCTCCTTCCTAAAATGTAGGAGTCAGGTGCCTTCTGCCTCTACATCTATGCTCCCATGATCTTTTGAGCAGATAACATCTGACCTCCCTCCCTGGGGATATGACAGTTGAGAAATTCACATTCAACCACATAATAAAGGGAGGTAACTTCATCTTGGGTCAAGAAGAACAGGGACCCTGTGCCTCTTCCCCTGCACTGAAATCAATCAACAAACACTTATTAAATGCCTACTAGGCAAGTCACTGGACTAGGCATTGGAGATGTCCCTGCCTTCAGGAAGCTGACACTCTAACGATGTGCTTTCTCCTCCTCATTCCCCATGGCCTCGTAGGGGTGGCAGCAGAACCTTGGAGGCTGATGATGAGAAAGCTACCTCACCTGAATCTAAGTTGGCTGCCTTGGTGGCTTCCTGCCTACTAAACCTAAGAAACAAGCCTTCTAAGAGGAAGGACATCCTTTCACTGCAACCTAATTCTATCTCACTGCCAAAGGAAATTCCCCAACAGGAATCTCCTTCTACCAACTCAGAACGACACTCACTATGGGCAAGATGGCCTCAAAGAGGAGCCTGGGGCACAGAAAGATTACGGGACCTGAGTCGGGTCACACAGCCCAGATTTCTCAGGCATGGAACCTGAAGCCAGGTCTTCCTGACTCCAAGGCTATCCATACACTCTACCTCTCAGTGAAACAATACCAATGCTGCGAGAAACCTGGTGCCCAAAATAAAATCATTCAAAACAATGATGTCTAGAGCACTTGAAGCTTTCTAGAGGGTTTTATTCAGTACAATCCTATCAACCAATCAGTCAATCAACAAGCTTTCAGCTAAATAATCACCTTTTTCCTGGCACTGGGCTGGGCCTTTGGGATCTAAAGTCTAAACCAAAATCGAAATAATCTCTGCCTTCAAGAAGCTTAAATTTATTGGGAGAAATAACACATGCATATGTAAGAATAGTCAAATATATATTTATATTATACATTACATATTATATTATATATTTGCATATTCATATATGTATACACACATATATTCATATATCCATATACAGACAGACAGATAGATGGGAGAGAGACCAAGAGATGGGAAAGATGACAGAAGAGAGAGGGGGAGAGACAGAGGAGAGAGACAGAGAGACAGATAGAGACAGAGGAGAGAGAGAGAAAAAAATATAAAGTCATTTCAGGGCAAAGGTATTAATGGCTGCTTATGAACTAGCTACATTATGAACATAATGAGCACCATTTTTTAGATATACCAATTGAGGTTAAGAGAGAAATGACTTTCACAGAGTCACCCAGTTAATAATTGTTAAAAGTCAGGACTCAGACCCAGGCCTCCTAACACTCACACTAGAGTCCTTCCCACCATGTGGTCCTAGTGTGTCTCAGCCCCCCAAAGGGTGGATACACAGCAGGTACTCCAGTAGTTGTCGACAGCTAAAGCCCCTAATGAAATCTTGTCCTTAGATCCCCAGAACAATGCCCGGTACTATCTCGCTTCTCCTCCTCCTTCCAAACTTTCTGAATTCAGCGTTCCATGCTACTGTCCCTACACCCGCCTGGGATGTTCCTCCTCCTTGTCTTTGCCACCTGGAATGGTTATCATCCTCTGAAGCCCCATTGAGGTGCACCCTTTTACATGACGCCTTCCCAGATCTCTCCAATTACCTGTGTTCTCTCTCTTCCCAAATTATCTAGCATATACTTGTCTAGAAGTGTTTTCCATTTTTGTCTTCATTTCCCTAGCACCTAGCACAATGGCTTATACATAGTGGGTGTTTAATAAATTCTCTTTAGCGTACCAAATAGAATTGTAGAAATGGGTGGTGGGAGAGCCTAGTTCTATAGTTTCGTTGATTCCACTATGGGCATAGTGGTGTATGCCAATCCCAGACCTTTAAATGTGAGAGACAGAGGCAGAGACAGAGAGACAGAGGATTAAACAGACACAGAAGGGGAGGGAGACAAGGGATAAGGGTTACAACATCACTCTGGCCAGTGCTTAGCCATCTTTGCTTTGGATTCACTATCCTTAACATCACCTTTTGTAGAATCACAAAATCACTAGAATGTCAGGTTCTTAGGGTAGCTAAGTGTTGCAGCGGAAAGAAGTGCCGGGCTTGGAGTCAGGAAAACTCATCTTCCTGAGTTTGAATCCAGCCTTAGACACTTCCTAACTGCGTGACCCTGGGCAAGTCACTTAACCCTGTTTGCCTCAGTTTCTTCATCTGTAAAATGAGCTGGAAAAGGAAATGGCAAACCCCTCCAGTATCTTTGCCAGGAAAACCCCAAATGGGATCAGAAAGAGTCAGACACAACTGAAATGACTGAAGAACAACAAATAGCCTCAGGAATTGTCTTTCTACTTGTATTAGAATCCCCAGTGCTTAGTCCAAGGTTTTACACGTAGTAGGCACTTAATGAATGCTTGCTTCCTTCCATCCTTGAAAGGAACGTAAGAGTCCAGCTGCTACAACTCAGACCTAAAATGGAATCCTGCCTATGGCATGTGTGAAGAGTGGTCATCAGTCTGCCGTTTGAGACCTCTGGTGACAGGGCACCCACTACCATGAAGGCAGCTCATCCCATCATTGATCAGCCCTAGTAGTTAGGAAGTTTTCCATGATATCCAACCTAAATTGGTCTCTTTACAATTCTCCCCACCCCTACCTCCCCCACTCCTTCCATTGCTCCTGGAGGGTTCTCCCCTCTGAGGCCAAACAGAATAAAGCTCATCTTTCCCCGGGGGATGCCCTTCAGATACATGGACATGCCTATCATGTTCCTTTTGAGTCTCCACATTTTCTACCATCTCTAGCTCTTTCAACCAATCATCATACAACATGGCACATGGATTCACATCCCCTCACCATCCTGGTGGCTGCCCAGTTTATCAGCATCCTGCCTAAACATTGGTGCCCGGAACTAAACACAGAACCTTAGATGTGGCCCAATCTAGGCTGAATGCAGTTGGGCTGGACTCTCAATGCAACCCAAGATCGGGGTATTTTCTTGGCTACCACATCCCACCAAGCTTGCTGTCTACTCATATCCCCAGATCTTCTACAGACAACCATCTGTAGCCAAGCCTCTCCCATTTACAACTTTCAAAGACATTTTTTTAACCCAAGTGCAAAATTTTACATTCATCCACCACCACAATTGTTATTGTTTGCCCTCCTGGGCCCATCATCCTGAGGTGGCAGTGAGTTTACTCGGTCAAATGCTATCACAGCAAAAGGCTAGAATCTTGTCATGCTAGAACTGAAAGGGAACTTAGAGATTATCTTTGTCCAACACCCCCATTTTACAGATAAGGAAACTGAGGATCAGAGAAGCAAAGGGCCTTGCACAACACCCCAAAGTAAGTTCATGTCAGAACACGACAAGGAAGGTCTCCTGATTCCCAAGACAGGGCCAAAGACTCAGGCTTATGGGGAGCTCGGGAGAAGAGCTCAGTAGGGCAAGTTTCACATAGAGCAGTAGAAAGAATGCTGGCCTCGGAATCAGAAGGCTCGGGTTCAAGCCCCAGCTCTGCCTCTCTTGGCCTCTGTATCCTTGGACAAGTCACTTCCCTGCTAGGGACCTCAGTTTCCTTATGTAAAAATGGAGGGGATTATGTGATTCAGTGAAAAGAGTGCTGGCTCTGGACTCCGAGGACCCAGGTTCAAATCCTGGCCTTCTCACCTACTAGCTGTGAGACCTTGGATAGAGGCCTCACTTCCCTGGGCCTTGGTTTCCTCATCTCTAAATGATAGGGTTGCACTAAAGAGACTCTTAAGGTCCTCTCCAGTGCTAAGTCTGTGACCTGATGAGAAAAGACCATCCTCTCCCTCTCTCTCTCTCTCTCTCTCTCTCTCTCTCTCTCTCTCCATCCTTCCCTCTCTCCCTTTTCTCCTCTCCCAGCCCCCCCATCCCCCACCCCAATACCTTGTTCTCCAGCAGGTCTGTGCTCTGCCGAAGCTCATTTCGTGACTTCTCAGATGCTTCTAGTTTCTTTTTCAAGGCAGTGAGTTCTTCCTAAAAGCCAAACCACAACAAAATACATCCTGAGAAGATGAGATACATTTTCCCTGGGACACAGAGGTGAAACCCGCGGAATGGATCACAAGTCATTGTCTTATTTGGAAAGCCCAACAAAGACAATCCCAGAGCACTGAGCCTGCTCCAAAGATGGGCTTCTGAGTTTGGCCTTCTTGGGTTAGATCAGTTTGATGATGGTGGATGATTATGATCAATATCAATGATGATGACAGCAATGATAACAACAGCCAACATTTCTATGGAGATTTTGTATGAAGACCAAGCCTTGGAGTCAGGAAGGCCTGAATTCAAGACCTACCTCTGACATAGAGTGTCTGTGTGGCCCTGGACCAGACATTTAAGCTCTCAGTGTCCCAGGCATCTCTTTAGACTAGAAGTCACAGAGGAAATGCCTGTCTATATTAGTAGAAAGAATGTCCCCATTGGGATGTCTCTGTACTAGCGATCACAGGTCTGAGGGAAACCAAAAATATAAACACTGCTGGTAGTCTTTACTGTTAAAAAAGCACCAGAGATGTATGACTTCACCTAATACAGGAATGTGGGATGTGACGGAAAGTGGCCAATTTGTTGGGCTCGGATCCAAGCTGTGTCTTATCTACAGAGAAAATGTCTCCTCCATGTGGTCATCCTCAGGGGTCCTGCCTGGAATAGTCTCTCTCTCTTTCTCTCTGTCTCTCTCTCTCTCTCTCACTTTTCTCCTTCTGTCTCTCTCTCTTACTGTGTGTCTCTATCTCCCCTTCTATCTCTCTCTCCTTTCTCCCTCTGTCTCTGTCTCTCTGTCTCTGTCTCTTCCTGTCCCTCTCTATCTCTATCTCATCTCTCTCCCTCTGTCTCTGTCTCTCTTTCTGTGTGTCTCTCTCTCCCCCTCCATCTCTTTCTCCATTCTCCCTCTGTCTCTCTTTCTGTCTCCGTCTTTCTCTGTCTCTGTCTGTCTGTCTGTCTCTCTCTCTGTCTCTGTCTCTCTGTCTCTCTCTGTCTCTCTCTCTCTCACAGACACACAGACACATACACACAGACACACACACACACACACACACACACACACACACACCTGATGCCAGAGCACTTTATGGTCAAGTCTCTTACAGAATCCCATAATCACAGTAGGGGCTCTGAAGCCACCTAGCCCAATCTCCACCTGAAGAGGCGTTCCCTCGATAACGTCCCTGACAAGGGGCGTCCAGTCTCTGCTTGAGGCCCTCTAGTGAGAGGGAGCCACCACCTCCTTTCTTACCCCATTGCATTTGGAGATGCTTCTCGTTGCTAGAAAGTCTTTCTTGACATCCAATGAAAATCTCCTACTTCTAGTTTGCTGGGATCAAGTAGAGCAGATCTGATCTTGCTTCCTGGTGACAATCCTTCCAATATTTGAGTATGCCTTGCTTGCCCCGGCCCTACACCAAAGTCCTCACTTCTCTAGGAAAGGATCACTTCGCCTACTCCTTGTCTGGCATATTCTCCCTCCCCTCTAATCTGCACTTCTTGGCTTCCCAGGCTTCCCTCAAGTGCTGGGTAAATCCTGTCTTCTGCCCAAAGCCTTTCTTAATCCGTGCCTTCCCTCTGTTGATTCTCTCCAGTTTGTCCTTTCTAGATGCTATTTGTATGGAGTTGTTTGCATATTACCTCACCCCATTAGACTATGAGCTACTTGAGGGCAGGGTCTGTCTTTTGTAGCACCCGGACTGACCACAGTGCCTGGAATGCAGTAGTTTATATTAATAAATATTTGTTGGCTACCGACTTGAGCCCCTTCACGATCCTGCTCACTCTCTGCTAATCAATGCGCATTCTGTAATGTAGGGCCCAAGATGGATCAGACACACTGAACATATTCTAATTTTTAGGATGTTTATTTGTGTCTATCTTACCTCCCAGGCCTTACTGTAAGTATCTTCTGGCCAGGAATGATTAGATAACATCTGTAAAGTTCTTTGCAAACCTTAAATCTCCATGTAAATGTTGATTTTATCATCATCACCATCATCATCCCCATCATCATCATCATCATCATCATCATTATTTATCCTTCTATCTACCCTCAGTGCCTAGCATTCAGCTGATCTCTCTAAACAATTCCTGTATGACTAGATGCATGAATGAATAAAATATTGAAATTCCTACCTTCACACACACATAGCTAAAATTTCCTGTTAGAGTCTTTCCTTTGTGTTAAGATATTGCTTTCAGAAGGTCCCTATTAAAATGGAAATGTGTTCCTAGGACCGATAACTGGTAAACTCATCAGTACCCAGAATCCCCCTAACAAAACCTGACTGCGAATAGACTCCAGGCTAGGTGTATTTTGTTAAAGAGGGAAATGGCTAAAGCCCAGGGGCTGCTGGACTGCACAGAGTTGGGGGGGAGGGGTGCAAACTACAGCAGGAGGAGGGTCTGGTCAGTTAGTTTCCACCACAAAAAGATTTAGAAGTTGGGATGCCAAACCAGAAGGGAGAGAAGTGGCAGAATGGCCATAATTAGCCATCTTTGCACCTGAAAAACAGACAGGGAGTTTATCTGCAATATGGCCTGGGGAGAGGAAGCCCACCTAGAACACTAGAGAGTTTCTACCCTAGGACTAGACTAATTGCTATTTGAGCCATATGGGAGAGAGATGAGGCATATACATGATCACTGGGGAAGAAAGGCTGTTGCTGCCGTGCTGCTAGAAGAAGGGCCAGGAAGTGAAAGAAACAGGACCCAGGACAGTACTGTCTGTGCTGAAAAAATTTTCTACACTAGGGCAAAGCTCCAGTGGCCCACCCTCGTTACTGCTGTGGTAAGTACTGAAAACATCTTGCCCATCTGAGATACCACGTCCAGTTGGGAGGGAGTTCTCTAAGCCTGCCCAGAAGTATGCATACCTCCTTTGCCCGGAGCTGGTCCTCCCCAATGGTGATACTCAATAAGGGTCGGATATGACGTAGCAGCTGCCACCAGGGCCAGTCCTTCACCACCTGGAACACCGTTAGATTCCTCTGGATACAGTGGACAGCCAGCTGCCGGATCTGAGAAGGGAAGAAGAAGGGGAAAGAACTGAGAGCCCAGGCTTTCTTCAATTAAAAAAAGATTGATTCCCATTTTCACCCCAAGGGAGTAAGAAGTGGCAGAGAATTTCGAATAAGGCAAAAGGAAGAGCTTTAAACTTTAGTAGGATTGAGTTGCAATGAACCGTAGGTAATTAATTTCAATACCACAAGCATTTATTAAGCACCTATTATGTGCCAGGCACTATGTTAGGGGCTGGTGATACAGAGAAAAAAGTAAGAGTTCCTGCCCTCAACACGTCTACTGGGAACCCTTCTTGGACTAAAAGTCTAATAAAACATTGGGAACGGAAGCATGATGAGACATTGGGACAGTGTCCTGGGAACCTTCTTCTCCAGTAGAATGTAAGCTCCTTGAGGGTAGGAACTATATTTTTGTCTTTATATCCTCAATACCTTGCAAAGAACTTTACGCATAGTAGATGCTTCATGTTTGTTGGATTGAATTATCTAACTATTCTTCAGCAAAGGAGAGCTTAGGCAAATTTCTACTTAAAGACAATGGGATGGACAGGATGACTCTCAAATTTTATTTTATACCCATGACTAAGAAATTTAGAGAAATTTTAACACCCTCCTTCCATTCCCCCCCTTACTAAGGGTAGCACAGACCAAATATACATATGGTAGATCCACACTGGTTTGTTGAGGGGTACCAGGAATGTTAATGGAATGCCAATCACCTTTTATGGCCAATCCCAGCCTCCCACAAACTATCAGAGGCAAAAGCCTGGGTGGGATGGTCATGGAGCTAACCCAGTGTAGGCAGGGGGCATTCTCAAATCCCTTACCTTCAGTTTCTTGAATTGCTGGCGGGACAAGAATCCCTTGCAGGCAGCTTGAAACAGAATTATATTCTGAGAGACCAGCTTCTCCCTCTGCCTTTCCAGCCTGGAGATGACGCCTGACTTCAGGAAAACCTGAAAGTATGGGAGGTCATTAGGAATGATCCCTGGATCTTTGTGGAAGCTGCTCCAGGATCCCAGGAAATAAATAAACCAGAGGACTCCATCTCTGCCCTGCTGATCACAGCACCTCAGACCTAGGTCCAAACACAGCAAATCAGCATGACATCGTGGATAGATCATAGGAATTGGAGTCAGGAAGATGTGAGTCAGACACTTAATAGCTGTGTGACCCTGGGCGAGTCTCAACGTCTTTCTGCCTCAGTTTCCTTATTTGTAAAATAAGAGAGTTAGATTTGATTGCTCTAAGGTCCCTTCTAGCTCTAAATCTACGATAGCATGATCTATGTGCCCCGACCTGTTATTACTAACACACCACGAGGGACAATACCGAGGGATCACAATCAGTCAATCAGTTGCCCAAAAAAAGACAGTGTTAGGTAAATCAAGGAAAGTCAACTCACTTCTATGGGGAAACTGATAAGTTCCTTAGGGGTGGGGAGATGTAGTGAGAGAAGGAGAAGACTGAGGCCTGTACTCATACCAAAAAGAATACTGTGGGGCAGTAGAAAGAGCATTTGACCTGGAGTAAGAAGGGACACTGATGGAAATCCTAGCTCCCTGTGTGTCCCAGGGTAAGCCACTTACCTCAGTGGGCATCAGTTTTCTCATCTATGAAATGAGGAGGCTGGAGTAGGTGGGCTCTGAATTCCCTTTCAGCTCCAAATCTATGATCCTTGGGGCAGCTAGGTGGTGCAGTAGATAGAGTGCCCTGGAGTCAGGAGGACCTGAGTTCAAATCCAGCCTCAAACTCATGATACTCACTATCTGTGTGACCCTGAGCAAGTCACTTAACCCCAATTGCCTCACATTTAAAAAGAAAAAGAATCTATGATCCTCTTAATCTCAAGTCTCAAGCTTAACTAGCTTCATGACTCTGGGAAAATCAGTCCACAGCTCTGAGCCCTGGTTTTCCCATCTGCAAAACAGGAATAATAATACCTTCTTCACAGTGTTGTTGTGAGGGTCTAATGAGATTGTGGGACTATAGAATTGGAACTGCAAGGGCCTGTAAAAACCATCGAGTCCAACCTCTTAATTTGACAGGAGAGGAAACTGAGGCAGAGAGAGGGGAAGTGGCTTGCTAGAGTGACCCTTTGGTCAGTGTCAGAGGTTGGATGTTAACCCACGTGAGACTTGTAAAGTGTTTTCTCTGCCAACACAAAGCACTTTTAGAAAGCCCAGCATCATGGCAGGCTCTGGGGAGACAAAGAAATATCAGAGGCAGCCTCTGCCCTCCAAGGACTTCCAATCTAACTTGAAAGTGTTTTCTACACAGGAAGAGATGGCAGAAGATGGTCCAATAAATAGTAGGGACAGTCAAAAGGCACAGGAGGGAGAGAGGAGAGATGGCTGTAGGCTGGGAGGGTCAGGAAAGCTAAAGAACAGAGGCATTTGAGCTGGAGCTCGAGGACTGAAAGCAGGTTCAGGTAAGTAGAAGGGAAAGGAGGGTGTTAAGAAGTAGAATGACCCTCATTTCTCAAAAGAGGAAACTGATGCCCTGAGAGGGGCAATAAGATGCCCGAGGTCACTGAGCTAGGGAGCAGGGTGTGACCGGGTGTGAGCCCCAAATTCGGTATTTCTTCTCCTTCCTCTCACTGCTTCTCTTTGGCAGGAGTACAACCCTCCATCCATCCCCGTTAGAGAAGGATATGAAATGAACCAGGAAACCTTCAGTGCCTGCACTCAAGCCATCTCCCCGACCCCCAGAGTGCTTGTGCTCTTCACTGTGCTGAACAAAACCTAACTCTAGGGATCTTCTCACATTGGATTTTGATTTGATGCTGGATGAAGCAGAGTTCCATCAGTCCTCCATTCATCTCCACCTATTTTCAGGCATGGCAACAACTCTGCCGATGCCTTAACAATCCACTGTGCAAGATGGAAAAAATCAGTCTCAGGCTGTTGCTGCAAGAGCCCTTCTTCGGTCTTTTCCGGCATCTCTGCCAAGACAATTAGCCTCATTGAAATAAAGATATGATTGACTCGTGGCCTCCCTGATTACTTCAATAACGACTGTATTAATTTCACAAGCTAGTGAATTCGAAAAGCCACTATAAAAATCAATGGCCAAAATGATGAGAGAACCAAGTCGGTAGATTACAAAAGGTGGCCAGCACTGCCAAAACACTATTGATTAAGTATGAAGGTTTCATTAAAAAGATAATTGGAAGCTACTATGCACAGAATAGAAATAAGTCATTCCGCCCCACTGAGTCATGTCTTACAATCTGTCGTTTTTCTCTAGAGCCATCTCACAGGCTGGAGGACCAGATACAAGCAAAAACATGCTTTCAACATCAATGTTATGGTGGTGGTATGAACCATGATGAGGCCGTAGAGGCTGGAAATGACCAGGAGGAATAGGAGCTGTCCAGTTGTCCCCAGAGCTGAAGCTTATCTGGCCTGTGCACAACTGTTCCATCTCCCTTCTCAAAGGTTGCTGGCTGGCTCCAATGTCCCACCCACCCAGGCTTCACAGACTTCTTCCAGCCTTCCCCACCCCAGTTTCTTTTCTCCTGTGGCTCAGGTGACTACAATCCACTCAACACAACCATTGCTTTAATCAATTGCCCTAGGGCTCCTCTTACTCCCAAACCAAAATATACTTTACTTGCCACCACCACCCTACATGTGCTCTCTCCCTGTATTAGAATGGAAGTTCCTTGGGGGCAGAAACTGTCCTGATTTTATATTTGTGTCTCCTAAGCTGCCAGTGCCTTCCTCTGAGTTTACTTCATATTTGATTTGTCTTGTACATATGTGTACATATACATACACATATGTGTACATATACATACACATATGTGTACATGTTGTCTCACCAATTGAATGTAAGTTCTCTGACAGCAGGGTCTATTTCATTTTTCCCTTTGTATCCCCAGCACCTAACATAACATTTGACACATAGTAGGTGCTTAATATATGCTAGCTGATTGATTGTTGACTAGCATAATTCCTGGCACATGGGCTTAATCAGTATTTTTTCATTCATTCATTCCCAAGGGCCAATGCTATCCAGATCTCATTCCTCCCATGGAATTTGGAGATAAAAGTAACACCCCAATTATTCAGCAACATTAGATAACGAGGCTTTCTGCGTTAGTGCCATTTCCAGATAAAAGGTTAGACCTTTAAATGCTGAATACTTTTGAAAGCAATATTTGATTTTATAAAAAATCTTCCAATATGCACATAACTATTTGGAAGTATTTAATAAATTCTAGGCAGTGTAGGGTAGTGGAAAGAGCACTGGGCTTTTAATCAGGAGACACCTATGTTTGAAATCCAACTGTGATGCTTACTAGCTCTGTGGCCATCAGCAAGTCGCTTAAGCTTTCTTCACCTTAGTTTATTCCTCTGTAAAATTGGAATAATGCTTGGGGCAGCTAGGTGGCGCAGTGGACAAAGCTCTGGCCTTAGAGTCAGGAGGACCTGAGTTCAAATATGAATTCAGACACTTGACACTTACTAGCTGTGTGACCTTGGGCAAGTCACATAACCCCAACTGCCTCACCAAAAAAAAAAAACTGGGATAATGCTATCTGTAGTGCCTCCCTTGCAGATTTTGTCAAATGTGAAAATTCATAAAAGTGCTATCACAAATTATAACGGAAAATAAGGACATTACCATAAGATTGGAGAAAGGAGAGATGTCCTTATTTTCAAGGGGGAAAAGGGAATAGCAACAATGATAATTAACATATATAGAGGTAGCTAGGTGGTGCAGCAGATAGAGAACTTGACCTGAGTTCAAATTCTGCCTCAGACAATCAGTAACTGTGTGACCCTGGGCAAGTCATGTCACCTCTGTCTTCTTCAGTTTCCTCAAGTGTAAAATGGGATAATAATAGGACCTACCTTGCATCCTTGTTGTCTCTTGCTATTACCTTGGGCAAATCATTTAACCTCTCTGGACCTCAGTTTCCTGATCTGTTCAATGAGTAACTCTCTAAGCTCCCTTCTGATTCTAAAGCTATGATTTTATGATCATAAATCACCCATGATATTCTTGCTGTTCCCACACCTGTAATTCACACTGTCCACATCATGGCCTCTCAAAATAATACCCAGTTTCCTTCAAGGCTCAGCTCAAACACAAAACGTCCACCTCTTAATGTCACCTCCTCCTCCTCCTCCATTCATCTGCGTCTAACCTGTCTGGCGCTAATACTATACTGGTAAAACTTGGATCTCAAAGCCAAACCTGGAAGTTTCTCCTAGGGGAACAAAATGCATGGACTTTGTGGCTGAGCTTTTAGCTGCTCAAGGAACAGTTTCCCCCTGACTTCCAGTTTCTCAACTGTTCTAGACAGCTAAGACAGCCAGAGAAGGAAGTAATTGTACTGTGCCTCAGATGTCCAAAGTGTTTTCACACACATTTTTTAAACTCAGTGAACAAACATTGACCAAGTACTGTGCAAGGCTAGGATGCAAAGCCAAAAATTAATCAGCCCCTACCCTCCAGGAGCCTACATTCTATTTGTGGAATCAACATGCACATACTGCAGTAGAAGCCAAGTAAATATAAGGGGTTTTGTTTGTTTAGTTATTGGGAAGTCAGGGAGGTAATGGAGGATAGGGCTGAATGGTAAATCTAACAAAGAAATTGAAACCCAGAAGGTAGAAGGAACTGTCCAACGTTGCCCGGTCGATCAGACAGAACTAAGACTCAAATGCCGCCTTCCTCCCTCAGGTGGGGTGGCTAATTGAAGCCTACCCCAGTGTGTGCCATAATGCCTGGAGAGAGCATAGCCCTTTTCATAATGCATGTGGGGAGATAGTTACTACTTAGGATTTTTGTATCTGACAGTTTCCTTTTTCCTTTGTGAATATATTCAGTATGACTTGCTAGAGAATGTATATGTGCACATGTATAATTTTACTTGGTGAGTGAAGGTACCTTCTCTTGGTTCTCCCTAATATTAGGGTGCTTGTTTTCTCTCCTATTAAAACCTCTCTTCCTGGAAGCTAGGCTGGTATTCCTAGGTAGGATCTCAAGAGAAAGCTCCACTTATCTTAAAGAAAGTCTCTATTGCCTTCCCACACACATAGACCCGCCATCACCATGCCTCAAGGCTGCTTCCCTTGGTAGTGCACAGGTTATCTGGAAATGAATGGAGCTCCTTAGAAAGCTCTGTTGGAAGTCTCTACTAATGGTTTATTTTCCTGCTTACCTATACAGTTCATTACTTTCCACTCTTTTTGTCTTATATTCCTAAACTACTGAGAAGAGCTATTTCCAAAAATTTGAGTTTCTTCGATAATGCTCATCTAAGCCAAAATGGAGCATCCCTTTTTGTTTGTTTTCTTTCATTTTAGTACCATAGTTCCGATAGATAACAGATTTCAACATCAGGAGCACAGAAGAGGAAGAGCATTCTGGTCTGAAGTTTGCCATCCCATTCTATGTAGACAATCATGGCTCCAGACTCCTGGGGAACTGGAAAGGTGGAGCATCACCCTTGCAGCATGGAATCCCAGCTCTGGAACTGGAAGGGACCTCAGAGGCCATCTGGTGCAATCTTCTCTTTTACAGATGAGGAAACTGAGGCCCAGAGAAGTCATGTGACTTGCCCAAAGTCACCTAGGTAGTAAGGATCAGATGCTGGATTTGAACTCAGGCCCGTAACTCCAGAGGACCTGACTATTTGTGAGTCTTCTTTCTCTTCCTCCTCATTACTCATGGGAAAAAGGAAAGCAGGTGAGCCCTCCTCAGTGCTACTACCTGGACTTTGTGCTGGTGCCCAATCTTCAGTGACCTGTCTGGGAAGCTGCGCATCCTCTGAGCCATCTGTAAATGTGCCACACCCCCTGCTTTGGCCTTTGCCCTGCCCAGAGAGCCAGCGGGGACTTGGGACACTCTCATTTCTCCTCTGCTGTCACACACACACACACACACACACACACACACACACACACACACATGCAACCTCAGCTGGCTGCAGAAAATATCCTTCAATCCTCATCATTAGGATCCAAAAGAGAACCTTTTCCTTTCTCTCTAAAATGGCTGTTAATTTATCACAAAACCACTCACTTGGGCAGCAAATGCTGTGAGATTCAGGAAATAATAGAGACAAGAGAGTCTGATCTGTTTGCCTTTTCCCTCAGTCCTGCAGATGCCCAAATGACACCAATCCAGAAGCCCTGGACAAACTAAGTCAGAGAAATGGGGTGACTCACTTGCGTGTTGCCGAGCTGTACGGCTGCTTTCTCCAGGTCCAGTTCTTGCAGGAGTTCCTCAATAAGCTGGGGAAACAGAAATAGGGAATTGATTAATTTATCAGTCAATCAACAAACACCTACTGTGTGCCAGATTCTCTTCTAGGGACTGGGATTCAGGTGATCCAGTAGGTGGAGGCTGGACCTGGAGCCAAGAAGTTGGTGTCGTTCAGTCATTTCAGTCATGACCAACTCTTCATGACCCCATTTGGGGTTTTCTTGGCAGAGATACTGGAGGGGTTTGTCATTTCCTTCTCCAGTTCATTTTACAGATGAGGAAACTGAGGCAAACAGGGTGAAGTGACTTGGCCAGAGTCACACAGCTAGTGTCTGAGGCTGGATTTGAACTCAGGTCTTCCTGACTTCAAGATAATTCGGCGGAGCTCTAGATCCAGTGCACTATCCACCGTGCCACCTGGCTGTCCCTAGGCGAGAAGACCTGCTTCTTCTCTGAGGTGAGGTAGCACCATCTCTCAAGCCATCCAGTAACATCAAATGACTGGATTTGTCTTTTTCCAGGTCCACGGGCAAGGGGAAGGCACTGCCTTGGAGTAGAGGACTAGCTCCCCCTAGGGGTCATCCCAGCCCTTAGTGATGCTAGCTGACCAACCTCCAGGCACCGCCCATCCACCCCCACATGGGGCTTACATTCACGGAACATTAGGAAGTCTATTATTCCCAGCAGAAACTGTCAGACACATAATTGCGGCAATGCAGAAGGGAAAGGTTTTATGAGCCTGGTGCGATTTAGTAGATGAGTTCTATTCCCCTCTGCCACAGACAGATATGACTAAAAACTTCCTAAGACACCAAGAAAAATGCTTATTAAAAGTCTGGCCCCAGAACACAATCAGAGAGAAACCCTCCTCCACTGACCTTGGTGGAAGCACATCCCGTTTCTCCTGAAATCAGCTGGTTTTGATTATTACTTTTAGCTCAACACGGTCCAGGGGAGCTCCAGGCATAGGGATGGATACACCCAATAAAAGCAAAATATACAGGATTGTTTTTTTTCTTAGATGAAAGGAAAGGGGGTAGGGGGAAGGAGCAACCAAGTGAAAATAAGGTTTGATAGACAAAGAACTCAGAAATTGTTCTGTATATTTGCAGAGGCCCTGGAAGGAACTGGGTCCCTTCATCTATG